ATTCTTCAGCCAATCCAAACTCCTGAATTAGTTTTAAACAATGTATTAACTTTATTTTTTTTTATCACCGTCTAGTTGCTGTCCGCGCAGAATTACTTTGATTTCAATTTTAACTATTTTCAAAAGATATCAGCGATATTGTCCAAGTTCTTTATGTATTGAATTTCAGTAATAATTTGAGATCTGTTCTGTAGCCATTAAATCGCACAATCCACCGTAAGTATGAGGTTGGGACATTTTAGTATAGTAGGCAGCAGAAAGATTAAAATTATTTCCCTCTCTGTAATGAGAAAGATAGAAAACTTATCACTAGAGCCCGGATTTTGATGACCTAAAAAATCTCAACTAATGCCCTTAAAAAGTGCAAAAAATGCCCTTAAAAATGCAAAAATTGCGCAAAAATGCCCTAAATAAAGTAAAAATATTGAATTAAACAAATGTTTTGCTCGTTAAAATTATTATGAGTCATTTAAAAAATATAAAACAATGCAATACTTGTTCTACGTTCATTAAAGTTTGAAAAATATGTTTTATATCCTAAAATAACAAAAAAAGGAAAATATATTGACACCAAAATATTTTTATTTTGTATAGAAACTCTAATGGATATAACAACTTCCATCTCATAATATTACTAAATATCAGAATTACATTGGATTATTAAATGTTTTTTGATAATTTGAAATGTAAACGAGCGTCTCTTGTCTGAAAGTAAATTTTCATTCCTGCAGAAGCTTCTTTCAACGTCTACTGATGTTATAGGCGTGTACTTGAAAAAGACGGTCTCACTTACTGACAATTCTTCTTCAATTTGAAAAGATTTTGCTTCACCTGTTAATATCCTATAGATTTTTTTCATTGTTTGGAAGCCAGTGTAATAATGAAAATTGATAAAAAATAATAAAAATGGGAAAAATTCACAAAAAACTTAAAAAAATGCATTAAAATGCAAAATAAGCCCAAAAATTTAAAGAAAAATGCCCTATAAATCTAAAAAAATGCTCTAAAAGACAAAAAATGTCCAAAAATGCAAAAAATGCAAAAAAAATGCAAAAAATGCAAAAAAATGCAAATGTCATCAAAATCCGGGCCTTACTTATCACAATGCTCCATTTTGTTCTGTTCTACTCTCTTGAGTCAAAACTTGAGTATAGTATAATATATCTATGCCATATGTTCGAAAAAGTCAAGCTTAGTTACTAATAATTGGTATGACAATATGCGACACCATAGCACAACTTAAAATGCATTTATGCTTAAAATTTCCACAGCCATTTTAGAAAAGATCAAATCGAAATCAAAATAATTACATCGTAACTAAATTTTTCTTTCCATAAAAATACAACATTATTCTTTGTGGGGGAAAGATCATTAGACAATGCCAACATTATTCGTTGTGGGGGAAAGATCATTAGGCAATGCCAACATTATTCTTTGGGGGGGGGGGNTTTTTGGGGGGGGGGGAGATCATTAGACAATGCCAACCTTCTTCTATCTAAAGGTACCTCAAGATTGACTCAAGTTAGCATGTTTTATATACCAGTGAATGATGTTGATGTGTAATATTTGTAGTGGTAGTTACGCCACAATACTCCCCCACCAGAATCTTATCAGGGATAGAATTCGATGAACGGATATCACTAGTTACTGTATTAGTGAAAGACCGGGAGAACTGGATTAAGGTCACTGGGGTTTGAGCTTTAGCCATGAGAGCTGTATTAAGTTCATGGTTGTGTGTGCAGTCACTTCCGTGTTGCTATTAGCTGTCGAGTGTGTGCAGAATCCCGTTGTATATAAATGAGACTGAGAAGCAACAGCGCGAGGAGGACGATGAGGCAGTCACAAATATCAAGTCAAATGTTCAATGTGGACCATCCATGAAGCAGGCGTGATCATATCACGTCCGCAGGTCACTAATGTGAGGGAAAGATCATTAGACAATGCCGACCTTCATCTATCAAAAGGTACCTCTAGATTGACTCAAGTTAGCATGTCTTATATACCAGTGAATTGATGTTTAATATCTGTAGTGGTAGTTACGCCACATTCTTAATAAATATTTAGCGAATAGCTAACTCTTCAACACTACTTAAATTATTACTTAAACAATCTAAAAAATTAATCTAGATAAATACTTAAAGTAATACTAATTAATTAACACAACTTAAGACAACCTAACAAAATGAATAATAACTATAGTGTTTCCATTAGATGGAGAAAGTGTGTGGTTCCACATAAGAGAAAAATGTATTTAGATAATTAAGTAGATTTAAGAACGCTTTAATTATTGTGATTATTCTTAAAACGGGTGAAATTTAAATTAATCGTCAAAGGTAAAATATGAAGTACATTTTCCCCCGGTTTGAAGTAGATATTTCTCTATTTCAATTCGCCGGTTTTTCTATTTTACATAATATCAATATAAACTCAACTGCAGCGATAGAAAACTATCATTTGGCTTTTAAAATATTCGCCTTGAAATATTCTCTTATTTTTCTATCTTTTTCAAAAATTTCTAAAAAAAAATTTTCGTCTGACTGCTTTTGTTCAATTCAACGTTTTTCGATTATTCGAAAAATAATAAACTGCATCAAGTTCTTTTCATGTGACTCTGCGCCAGCAGATAACGAGCAAACTGCGGAATAATAAGAAACAGGAAAAAGGGGGAAAATTTGGCAATGTGAGCCATATGGGCACCTTAAATAAAGTGCTTCAGAACCGAAAAGTTGAAGAAAAGATTATGCATAAACAGAAAAGTCTTTTCGGTAATTGTATGCATGAACCAGCGAGTATAAATCCTCTACTTTAAATGTAAATAAGAAAGTTCAATCTCAGTATAAGATAGAAAAAAGCATGCTTATAGCTCCCTTTTTCCACCCTCAACTCTTTCCTTCCGGTCGCTTATCCTGCTCGTGTGTTCTGTGTGGAGTCAAAGCAAATAGGGATTTTTCTTCCCTTTTTTTCTTGTTTTTATCCCTTCTGGTTAAAAAAAAAAGTTAGTTTGTTCGCGTGCATAATATTGACTTTTACCTTTGCATACATAAGTGTCAGCTTAGGTAGTCCAAGTTTCAGCTAACACAAGTAGGGGAAAAAGTAGTTTTAGATAAAAACAAGTAGGGGAAAAAATAGCATCAAACGTTTCCTAACTTGAAGGAAACAGTCGATTATTAACAAGACCTGTAAAAAAGTGGAAACTCTTTTAAGATATTTTCTTTTCAACAATTTCGTAAACTCTTCTTATCCGTTTGCACTAATATCTACTACTTTTTTCTGGACTCTTACAGTTTTTCTCTAAAAGTAGTAGTTACAAAAGAAAAAAAAATTACTCCCTTTTCTATACTTAATATCACGAAACCTCCTTCTAAATGCATGAAGTTATACACAGTTTAGAAGATAAAATTGAAACTAACGAGGGCAATCTTTTTTTTTTTTTTTTNTTTTAATTTTTTTTTGAATTCTTTTATTATATTCTTTGCTGCTTACTATTAGTATGGTATTTTCTTTTTAAAGGTCTAGACTGAGGATAATGGGGAAAAATCCCTACTTATTAAGAATTCTTTAGTGTTTATTTTTTCAGTTTAGAATGGTATGATGTTGAAAATATAGATGGTCTAATAAATACGGTTTCAGCATTTACACTCAATAAAACATAAAGATAAATATTATGGATAAACTATGTTTAGAGCTGATGAAACTACAAAACACACGAAGAACATTGCAAAAACAAAAAAAAATTTGGAATTTCCTTAGAAGCAGTTTTTTTTTATGCTTTGCTTAACCTTTTTTTAACCGTTTTCCTAGGTTAAATATGTAAGATAGTTAGAAGAATAGTTTCAGCATTGCAGAGAAGCTTAACCTCTTTAAATTCTTCGTTTTTCCTCCAACAAAATTATAAAATATTGAAGAAAAGATTTGATTTAATTTTGAAATGAATAAAAATTTTAAATATTTTCAAAAAAAAACTTAACTATAAAAAAAATTCTAATTAAGGAAGATTTTTACACCTAAAATGAAAAATAGAAAAATAAATCTTGATTTTTACATTTTTTTTCATGTTCATTTTCTCAGGTAATGTTGTTATAACAACTTTTATAATGTAAAAAAAAATCCATTACTAATGCTTCTCGTTAAATTAAAAAAAAAAAAAAAAACCCGGGTCTTTTGTAATTACGATAGAGGCTAAAGCTGATAAAGCTTAACCTAAGAGTTATAAGTAATAACAAAAATTAGCATATTATTAACTAAAAACGTTCTCTTTTATATGATGGAAGAACTTTCGAAGAACAGCCTTAAATATTGTAATTGTACTGTCACAATGCATCCACATAGTAGATTCATCCACTGTAGAAGAATCAAATGTGCCAGAAATTCTAATTGTTGTTTTTTCAACACAACTGAAATCCGAATGGATAGTAACGTTATTTACCTTTTATTTTCGTACACACCTACAAATACTAGTTACATATCTTTGCAATTAGTAGTTAATTCTATGGAATCTGTAACTTGCATATTTTATAAGTATGAATGAATTATTTAATTATATATAACAATTTGAAAAAGTATACTTTTATACATCATTATTTGGTTTGTTAAATGCAGGACTTTGCGCTTTCTTATTTACGTATTCTGATTGTCAGTGAAAACTTACTAAGACTGTATTTAATCTTAATTAGGTTTTTATCAGCTTTTTCGATTAACTTCTGCAGTTCATTTTTTCATGTGTTTAAAACAATCTTTTATTAAAATTAAATGAATTAATTAATCAGAATTATAAAAAATATACATAAATTAATACATAACTAATAATTTATCATGCATTTAAAATTTTCTTTAAAGTATTTTATTAAATTATTTTAAATTTTCGTATTCCCTATTAGATATCTTCCTCTATGCCTAATAGATGGCGCTGCAACTCCGCAACCAACATTAATGTCGTTCTTCCTCTTCCAAAACAAAAATTCAACTCAGCGCCATCACGTGGTCCTGACTGGGGCGGCGTTGCGAGCAATGATTATCAGAAACAGGGCGATCCGCTTGCTCTTAATACTCTCAGTCAAGCTATCGCATCCTCTTTGAATGGTCTTGCTTTATTCTTCGCAGGCTGTTCGCCAAAAGATCGCCAAATAAAAGGAAAATATCACATAATGTGAAGTGTGAATTCGCCGGATACACTGTGCATTGTTACGATGGAATGTTTTCTTATGCTAACTTAAACAACAGTAGATCTTAATTCATGACGTTAGGATGGAACAATAAATTTAATATATATGAATATTTTCCTTTTGTGGAGCTTACCACTTCCGTACTACAAGCTGCTGGCATCAGCGGTAAGTCGGAAAGTGTAGTTTAGTTTGTTTTAGTACCATTCTTGCCTGCGAATTTGAATAAATAAGAAAAAGTGAGAAACAGAGAAAACGATAGATAATAAAATGAAAACGATGGTTATTAAAGTTGATAGATTACGAACGAAACGAACCTTTTACGAATGATCACATCGAAGTTAAAAATAATGATTACACGTCTTTAAAATCGTGCAAACATAATAAAAATATCTATAAATTATAAAAACAACATAAGGAACATTAGAATAAAAAAAATTCCTCATTGAATCATGACTAAATGCTTTTTTGAAATCCACAAATAAATAATTCTTTACAATTTCTCAAATCGAATTTTTTTGATTGAAATCTGAAAAGGAAAAATGATGATTAGAAAAATAGCATTCATTAAATAAAGATTGTTGGAACTTTTCTCAATTATCATGGGAAGAAAATTATCAACATTATTTTAAAATAATTGTTTTCAGTAAAGCAATAATAAATAATTCGTCACAACTTATTATATCGAATTTTTCTTATATTAATGCGAAAGAAAAGAAAATGAAATAAACTGTATATTTTTCAAAATCTACTTTAAAAAAAAAAAAGAACGAAAGAAAGATTGTATTAATTCAAAAAGATCTTTGGAACTTTCATCAGTTTATTTAAGAAAATTATTATTAACTTTAATTTATTGATAATGTGAAGATTTACCAGCTCTAAACATGCATGCGAGAAATTATTAAATCAACTGGTTTTTGTTTTCACAAATAGATTAATTTTATCGGGGAAAATATTACAGATATTTTTAGCTAGATAAGGAAAAAATACCCTGAATGAGAAAAAATATATTGAGCTACAATTATAAAATAAACTTGATATTCAATGTCTTGAACAATTTGAATTATTTGTGAATTAGAATAAGTTTTTTTAATATCTATTTTGAATTAAAATACTGTTCTTAAAATAAATTCCGAATTTACTATCTCTCTTTTTATATGAGTATTAAGAATGTGATTTGCATAAGAACGCACAGGAACGCCATTCTGAAAAATTCCATTACTAGTTATTTAAAAATAAAAGAACATAGTTTAATTTATTAAGATAAAAAGACACACAGTAATGCTTGCAAACTAATTTTTAAATTATACCAAATTGCCAGCGCCTCTTACTATTGGACAAATTTTATAAATTTATCGCATGAAAAATGGTTTTTGCGTAGATTTTTAGCATTTACAAGGCAATTTTCAGTGTAAAATGTTTAGGGAGTAAGGCTAAGACAGACCTTTTTCAATGTATCTTTCCTAAGAAACTATTTATGATAAAATTTTCTGAGGATATTTGAGTGCTTTGATAATGTTTTAGCATTAACGGGAATATTTTTCAGTTATGAAAGATTTTTGCTCAAAAATGGTGAAAAAAAATTAAATATTTAATTATTTAAAAAAAATAAAAGTTCTGAATTCATGATTTAAAAAAAAAAAAGAAAAAAAAGAATTCTGCCGAAGGTATGTATTTAATAGTTATCACCGTGTAAACATGTATAAGTAAATATTCTGCAAAAAAGAAAAAAAACAATCTGAAGCAATATTTTGTTTAGATGCTAAGAAAAGGTACATCGAAGAAGGTCAGTTTTAGTAATATTGGTATATGCGTTATCGACCTCCCTTTAATTACTTGTTTTCTTCGAATTAAAAGAAAGATTTGACAAGTTCCGTATCAGTTAGCCAGTGGAGTGCACTCCAAACCGTCAAAACAGTTGCCGTACATAAAAAGTAAAAAAATTTAACTTGTTTGAAGGCCATAGAGTGGAGAAGTTTAATTTCTGGTAGTTTTCGCGATGTTTCGGCAGGTAATATCGATAGTCAACAAAGCATCATGATGTATTCCTAACTTAACTAATTTATATTATTTTTAAATCGTTAATATCCTCGTAACAAAATAATATTCTTTGAAATATATGGCATTATCGTATTTAACAATACTCGTGATATTATCATTGTCAATAAAGATACGATAGTATCATGTTCGATTGCTATCGTTTTTGATTTTCAAATTGTTAATATCTTTTTAACAAAATAAGATTCTTTAAAATATACGATATTATCGTACTTTAAAATACTCGCGATATTATCACTGTCAGTAAGCTATCGTTTTTTGATAATAGCAACGATGTTAGTGTATTCGATATTTAGCCATATTGATCACGATGTCTGAAAATGTGTCTAAACTTACCGTAAATATTAAACATATGAATTATCAGTGATTAACGTATATTCAATATCTACTGTAAGTGTTTGTTTTATAATATATAGTAGGAACAATTCATAAAATATTGTTATCGAATGTTAAAAATCATTTATGTTCAATGTTATGTGTTTATAACAAATACCACCACTTGTTATGCATAAAATTGTTTTAAAGCTATAAAGTGGAATTTTTTTTATTAAAAATTTTAAGTAATGAAAATTTAAATTAATTATTTTAAAATAATGTTATTATTTGAATTTAATGAATTTTTTTTTGTTTAAGTGCTTTTGCTTTTTTTTTCAAGTCGCCTAGAAAAAATAAGGAATCCTCATAGCAATTTATTACATTCGTATATTAATAATATTAACGAGGTTCTGTGTGTTATGAATCAAACTAAAATATTCAAATCTTTTGTAAGAAAAAAGTAAATTGTTTTGCAAAATCCTATGAAATCGCTCATTAAATCGTTCACATAATTATATTATTTCGAGTAGTGTAGTAGCTTCAGACTAAACAAATTATTCTATTATGGATAACAACTTAAATTATCTCTCTAATATTGATGTAAATACTGCGATTTAGAAACTGAAAATAGGCGATTTTGTCCAAACAATGAGTAATTTTGAGGCATCATTACACAAATTATTTTAAGACTGGATTAAAAAAAAATTATTTTAATTTAGAACAGTTAAACGAGAAGAACGCAAACTATTAATCAGAATCTCTTTGTTAAATGTACAGAAAATAATTCAGTATATAATATTTAGGGGTATGCTGTTGTCATAAGCCGACTTTTTAATTGTGCAACCACCATTTTTTTTTTCCATTGACAGAAAAAGTTACCTATTGACTGTTTAATATACTTTATGAGGTTTGAAAACTATTATGTTGACTGTGAATTAATTCACGTTTAAAAAAGTTTCTTTACAAGAAGTTGAAAATTTTGTAATTTCCTTTTAATTTATTATTAAACTAGCCGAATAATATCCGTTCTCCGTACGGGGTGAAATAAAGCAAGCAATAAAGAAAAATTAGTACTGAACAAAACTGAGACATTGTACATAAAACTGAAAACCAACATACAATTAAGGAAGCTAAATTATTCCACAAATTCTTTTTTATTTATTATTATTTTTGCCCTTGCCGATGACTTTACTTCATTAGATTAAGTAAAATACGTTTTTAGTAGTTCATTCCATAAAAACAATGATTAATTGCATTCAGTATCATTTGTTATGATGCTGCTGCTCGAGGTGAACTCAAATTTTGCCACTATCAAGCGATTTTCTTTAAGGGTACTTATCCTTTTCGAAGGCCCGAAAAACACTCTGCAGTATATATATTAAAACTGCATAGTTTTAATAAGTACCAAATATACTAACTGTACCAATATTAGTATATGTGGAACTAATTAAAACTGCACCACTATAAGTGCTTGTTACCAAAAATAATTAAATAACATTGGCTTCCATAACAGTATGACGATTTATTACGTTCTTTCTACGTGCATACAAATTGATATTAATTTCGCTTTTTAAGCACATAGCGTATTTTCTTTGTTGTTGTTTCAATTAGTAAACATTATCAAAATATACTAAGCATAATGTGCGTCAGTAATAATATAGGGATTTTTTTTACTATACTATTATTAATACTATCTCTCAAACGAATTAATACTATTTTTTTCTTAAAATTGTTTTTAGTACGGTAACTGAATTTTTTTTAAATTTAAATATTCAAATAATTTTAAATTCTTTAGTTTCATATAAACCTTTTTTTAAAGCAAAACTAGAAACAAAATATATTCGTATTTCAGATAACTTTGGAAGCGTTAATTTAGTGACGTTACCCGTCTATGTTACAACGTTCACGTTGATTTTTGAATTTATCTGACATAACGAATAAAAATAATTGAATACCTAAGAATGTGCAACAAACTCATTTTTAATGAAAGAAGTAAACTATCAAAATCAGTGAAGTAATTTTTAAAAAATTAAAAAAAAGAAAAGAAAAAGAAAACAGAATCGTCTGCGGTTTTATTTTTATCAATGGGAAGTTCTAGGTCAATGAAACAATTTCCATTTTCAAATGACTTTCCTGAACGATATAATTAAAACTGTTAAACGTTTTTTTAGGGCAAAAATAGTCCATTTCACCCACTTGCCAAATCTCAAGGGGCTCACTTAAATGGTTCTGGATTTATAAGAGAGACGGACACATAGATAAACTCTTCATTTTATTATCATAGATTCGAAGAAAATATTAAATGTACCAGATAATTTTAATTTTGAAAACTGTGTTAAATCAGGATTATTTAGTCTTATTAACAATGGTAGATGGTAGCATATATGGCAACGCTACTTTTAAAAAGTAACGAGTAAAAGTACAAGTATTTTTAAAAAAAGTAACGAGTAAAAAGTAAAAAGTTCTTATTTTAAAAGTAACGAGTAAAAAGTACAAGTACTAAACAAAAAAAGTAACGATTTAAAAGTACATTTCTAGGAAATCGAAAATTCAAAGTAACCTAAAATTTTATTGAACGATATTCTTATGTTCTTTAATGTTTTTACAAAATTGTTGTTATTTATTTAATTATTTTTAATTTTGAAAGTTGTGGACATTAATTTATTTTTAAGTTCGGAAGAATATTATAATATAATTTTATAATATTATAGTATAATATAATTTTAAAATCAAATATAATTTTAATATCAAACTTTTTATGGATTTGCACGAAAAATAAATTTTATCTATTGATT